GGGCGGTTCCTGCCCGGCGACGGGGCACTGAGCTCCGGCACGCTGCTGCCTCGCAGGTCGTACTTTTGTTTGGTTTTTCTTGTGAAAAGACTGTTCCGTGCGTGTGCTGGTGTCGGGGGTGACCACGGAGCAAGAGGACACGGAGGTTTCGAAACCGCAGGGCAGATCACAGGGGCAGATCTGTGAGGAGTCGTGGGTGGAAAGACTGAATTTAATGCAGGTAGCTTGGCGAATTCCACTTCGGGGCATTTGTGCAGCGCCTGGGGATGACATTTCTGATACCGTCCTGTCCGGCTGGAAAAAGCGAATGGAGGAAATGCGACAACGGCGCAGCTGTGACACGTATGTATGGGTCACTCTTAAAACTGGAAATCCCTCAAAGAGCAAGCACTTCTCTTCAAAATGGTGCAGAGTTGGGTTATGCTTTTTCCCCAAAGACTGTTCAGTTTCCAGGTGTGACCCGCACAGGTGAGTCCTGCAGTGACAGGAAGGATCATTTCTGCCCTGAAACACCCCAAGAGCGCTCTCTGCTTTGCATCATCACAGCGATTGGTGTTTCAAACTTCTCTGAAGAGCTAAGAGACACAGTGGATGTGACAGAGAAAGTCACTAAATCTGATCTATGTCGAGTCTCTGCGTTCGTTGTTCTGCCTGTAATTAGCTGGGGCTTTGTGTGCAGTGGCTGGTCATAAAGGTCTGTAGCTATTTCCTGGTCTGGTGGAGCTGAAGCTGCGGATCTCTTCCTTGATCTCAGAGAGGAAACCTTACTTTTGGCAACTGTTCTTGTAAGAATGCAGAGGAGTACACAACGCAATTGCCGTACTCCTGGTCAACATTTTCATTGGGGGATGTGGTTATGTTTCCACAAAAATACACCAAGCTTGCAACTGACAGAGGACAAATAAAATGTTTTTACAGCTTATTTAAAAATTAATTTTTTTTCATTTCCCAAAGCTGCACAAATATAACCTTCACTTGAGCTCTAGGCACTGAGAGCAATTAGGCTGCTGCTGTGATTACAGACTTGCCAAGCTGACGAGTAATGTTACTTGTCAGAAGTAGTTACCATGTCTGCTTGGGATCTGCTCACCGTTTAATTGGAACGTGGAGCATCACACTTAGATCAAATAATAGGTTGCAGTAATGAGCTCAAACTTGTGGACATTCAGGTATCACCTGCCTTGAAACAGGGTTTGCAGAATACTGGTAACTGCCTTTTTTGGAAAGAATGTTACTGCAGGATTGATTTTTAAATGCAAGGACATCAGCAGCGCTCCTGCTCATAATGCCACCTCTGCGTATACCTGCGAGGCCAAACTTTTATAAAGAAGCTTAAATGCAACATACACGATTCTCCAAAGAATTAGAGGCTGCAACACTGCTGTGAATGGCTCCAAAGTAGTAAAAGGAGGACAATTTTTTTTTTTTAATAATGAAACTCCTCCTTAGCTATGAAGAATGCAAATGACTGCAATATTTAAATACTCACAGTTCTTTTAAAGCTGTCAGTAATGGCAGCACCTGGGCCTGGTGTGCTGGGGGCTCTGGGCACCCTGCCTACAGAAGTGTCAAGGGGCAGCTGAGAGGGGCAAAGTTGGGCTTATGAGGCTGAGGGATTTCAGCACCGCTCAGCCCTCATCCTCCTCACGTTCTATTCCCCGTTAGCTCAGAGCAGCGCTCCAGCCAGGCACTGCCTGTGTCACGCTTGGCACCGATGCTCCAGGGGCCAGGTGGAGAGGAGCCAGCCCAGCCGGTGAGCTGTGGGCTCATCCCACCCACGCAGGCATCTTGCCCAGTCCCAGAGCCCACGGGTCACAGCTCGATGCCTGCCTCCCTGTGCTCGCTCAGCCTGTGCGGCTTCGGAAAGGAACATGGGACTGGCTCTGCCTGGAGTCTCCTGTAACCCCGCGGCGTCGCCAAGTAACTTGTCAGCAGAGGTTTATCTTGTCTGGTTTTTCAGTTTGTTTTTTTTTGTTATTCCATAGGATTGTGTGAATATTGCTTGGAGCAGTCCAAAAGCAAGTGTTTAATCACAGTAGCACAGCTATCTTCATCTGATTAACAGTGCTAATACACATTGTACTGAAGCTAACACTTCTGCACTTGAAAAATGCTGTAGGAAAAAACCCTGTACCTAGGGATCATCCTGAATGAGTTTGGTTTTAATCTGAAGTACCCAAAACTTTAATGGCACCTGAAAAACCTGTGGTTGAACTTGGTGCCCCACAGTCACCTCCCTTTGCAAATAATGGTGCCGCAGCCAGCACCTTTGGGCTCATGCCTGCTCCTGCTGCAGCGATGGCTGTGCTGTTTGGGCAGTCTGACCCCAGCCAGGCCTTTGTGAAGCACATCCCAGCCTGGGAGCTGTACACAAATAATTCACAGAGTGCAGTAAACGCTTCGGCACGCTGCCAAAACGCCTGCACCCTCATCAGGAAAGATGATCCCCAAGGCAGCAAAAAAGGCTAACTTGTCCTTGGGGTTTATTCAGCACTGTTGCAATGCGGATCGCTGCGTGCTTGCAGTCAGCCTGTGGTCAGCTATTTACGTATGAGATCAAAGCCTGTCAGACACGCGCAGAATGGGTTTGGTCTGCCCACATGTACCTTGCCTTAGATCTTGTGTTACCAGTCCTCCAGCTTCCCACTGGTCTCGTTTGATCAATAAACACAACACGTGCAGGATTCAGTTGCACTTTACTTCACGCACCCAGGGGCAGATAAGGCGCAGCCAAAATGCTGTGGGCATGTTTTGCAAGAGCTCTCGCTGCCTTCGGTGACTGCAGTGACAATATACTTACGTAGTTCAGTCTCTTATTTCCTTTTAGAATATGCAGCAATAAACTCCATGCTGGACCAGATCAACTCCTGCTTGGATCACCTGGAGGAGAAGAATGATTATCTACATGCCTGCTTGAAAGAGCTGCTGGAGTCCATCCGCCAGACCCGCCTGGAGTTCCAGCAGCAGAGCGAGCAGCAGAACATGGAAGCTGATGTGCAGGGATCACAGCCTCCGGTTTAGCGTGCTGGCCACAAACTCTCAGTTGGTGTTGCTAAGGGGACATTTACTGGTTGCCGATCTAATCTAAAACTTGAATAGAAGAGGTACCTCGTGCCTGTTACTCGTTCCTTCCTGTGGTTGTGTCTTGCCATTCACCTACACGTTCTGTTTAGCTGTGCGACGGGTGCAGAAGCACACAGGTGGACGTGGGAGAGTTGGTTCTTTTCTGTGTGAGCCTGGCACCGATAGATGGTTAAAGCTGGTTGTAGGAAACCTGATGCCATGCAGGTTGTTTGCAAGCAGGCCCTCTTCACAAAGAGGAAGAATGATCTCTGGTCTTTTGCACTGTAAAATCCAAGCAAGGAGTGTTACGGCTCTAGCCTCTTCCCTCAGAAAGCACAGTAGGCAGGAGCTGTCCCAACTACAGGCTTGCCCCTAAGCATAACGCTGATGACGGACTTTGAGAGGGAGGCCCTAGGCCAGCTCCTGCCTTGAAACTACAGCTTCCCCGTTACTCACATTAACTATGAAACAGAAGTATTGGCAGATGGTCCCAGATCATTGGGCTCTTCTGTCCCCTTCCAAGACAAGCTACCAGGGTGATGTTTTTGATGGTTACAGTTGGAAGCTCCTAACTCCTTGAGCTGCCGTTAAGAACTCAAGCTCTAGAGAGAGGCAAAGCAGCCTGGTTAGCTCCCACCACAGCATTAGTTATAGAGCGAAGAGATGGGCCTGTCTACTGTGAGCAGAGTCCTCCCTTCTGACAAGAGTACGCATGAGCATTCTGGTCTGAAACTTTGTGATCTTGTCAGGATGGCCTGGGGCCAGCACTGTGAAGCACATCTTACTGTTCTACTTCTGGAAAGTTAAAGGGAGTTTTTCTGAAAGTTAAAGAAGTTATTTATAAGAAATCTGTTTTATTAAAATCAATTTGAAACCAGATTTGTTCCTGAGGGTCTCCACTACGAGAACAGACTGTATTAAGCCTTGTTAGCATTAACAAAGGACCAAGATGCACATTCTTGCCCAGCTTAGGACATGGTTCTTGTCCAAGAGTGTGCACCTTTGAAAGCAAATTGTTCTGAGGAGCAGAATTTGGTACAGTCTCCCAAGAGATAAACTTTTCCTCTGCCTGGAAAAGAAACCAGAGGAACTACAAAGAATTCTTAATGAAAAATGAGTCCATCTACTTAATGAACCTTGTCCCCTATGGAAATCACATTACGATCTTCTTTCAAGTTCAACAATCCAAGCCTCAGACTTTCCACATAATTGCTGTATCCCAACTGTACAAGTAATAACCAACACCATCCTGTATTAGACACGCTAAAGCCAGGCTTATTTTATTCTTAAAATAAAAACAGCAGTAAAGTTGAAGGTTTTTGCTCTATTAAAAGACTCAGAAAATAAACATTTCCAGCAAATATCGTATGTAAAGGGCTCTCCCTTTAAGGCCACTCTATCTGGGTTTGCGCCTAGTAGAGCGTCTGCACCCTGCAGAGGCAAGACTGGCTGTCTCACCTTTGGCTAGGGAGGAAGGCTCTGCCGCTGCCTCCTGGCCTGTGTTTGCTGCCTCATTCTGTCCTAAACCCCCTCCATTCCCTGGATCCTCGTAGTCGTCTGTGCCTTCCCTTTGCCTGGCTGCAGTGGCTTCCTCCTCCACAGACACAGCGTGTCCCCACAACTCCCCTGCGGTGCGGTTCTCTTCAGGGAGCGGGCGATCGGCACTAGTGGTAGTGGACTTGCTCTCTTCCTGTAGATTTTCTTCTTCTACAACCATGATTCCGCACACATCGTCAGTCACGCTGGCTAGGCTTTTGCCCTCTGCTGCAGAGGTGGCCAGCTCAGCCTTACCCTCCAGAGACCTCGAAGCTTGTTCTTGCAGGGCTGACAGCTCTGTACCCTCCTTGTCTATCCCATGATCATCATTCATCTTCTTGCTGGTATCTGCTGTTGTAGCAGGAGGCTGTTTCAGATCATCCAGCAACTGGGAGCTGGAGCCCTGGGAATGCAAAGGAGCCTCGGGGTAGGCAGCTGTGGCACGATGCCTCGCTGCCTTGTATCTCTGCAAATACAAACAAACCAACGTGAGAGAGAAGCCCAGCTCAGCTACTGTCACTGCAGCAAGTAGCAGCTGGTCCAGGAAAACCTGTACAAAAACAGTGGTGAGTGGCAGCTAGAATCTGCAGGGGCACGACTTGTCTCAGCAGCTCTCTTGGCCTGGCTGCTGAGGCTTTCAAGCAGAGAAGGGTCAGCTCCTGTGAGGAAAAGTGGCAATATTAAAAACTGGAGTCCCTCTCCCATTACTTAAATGCTAAGTGAGTGCATGGCAGACCTGCGGCTCCTGAGACAAAACCCATGTTTTGGCAACTGTTAATCCCAGTCAGACTCAAGACTTTGTAGATGTAACAGTGCAAGTGACAGCTCTTGCTTCAGCTACTGCCAGCAACTACTGGACATGTCCAGCTACTCTGGACATGTACCCTGGATAGCTAGGCACTGCCCTCAGCTACAGAGATGTGATTTAATGTTTATCAGCCAAAGCAAGACTTAAGTTGAAAGCTTATGATTTTTCACTCTGCTGATACAATCTGTGCAGCCAGCAAAACTGTTGACAGGAACACTAAGATATCAAGAATATCTTCTTGTTACGAGGTACTGAGGTTCTCTACAGAATAAAGATAAGCATATCATCAACAAAATTACTCATTTGCACCAGCTACCACGATGAACCAGTAGAGGTCTGTAAAGAGATTCAAATGGCTACTAGCCATTGTCAAGACTGGGTTTCAGAAAAACAGCAACTCTGTAAAGCTATCTAACATGTAGTAGGTATCTGGTCTTCAAGACGCAGACAGAGCATGAACTAAAGGAATAAACCAAAGCTCCCTCTTTTCCATAACAATTCCCTCCACAATCAAGTCCCTTTCAGCTTTCTGCTAAAAGGTCCCCTCAACTGGCAGTAGCACCAGACCTGACAATTTAAGCAAGCTATTTTGAGCTCACTGGCTTTCACCACTGCCTTAAGCAGTGCTACTGTAGTCTGCAGTGTGGGATTGCAGCACATCAGACAGGCAGCTTTACAACGCAATTCAGTTTATCATTGCAGGCTTGCTCTTCCCCTGTCACAGAATCACAGAATCACAGAATAGTAGGGGTTGGAAGGGACCTATGTGGGTCATCTAGTAACACATGGAACTGTATCAGTGAAGTCATAATGTTGTACCCAAACCAAACCAGGTGCAAGCATGTCAATTTGTTTGCAGAGCAATGCTGTGAACTGCCTCAACAGCAGACGATTCTCTGCTTTGAAACCCTCTGCTGAGAGTACCCCAGAAACTGGCAATGATTTAACTCGGACTGTGACAACCCCAAGGCACATAGGCAGCCAAAATAATAGTTATCTGCCTGCAGATATTTAAGGTTGGACTCTTGTCATAAATAATCCCCCCAGGTCACTCTGGCATCCCATTTGAAGAGTGTCTGATTTCAGCTCTAAGTGGGCCAAAAGGGAGACATACACACTGCTGCTGCAGTTTCACTCTTAGCTGATCTAAAATAAGCCATGAGAACTGCAAGGCCGGTTCCTTCATTCCTGAAATGACTAGCTGCAGGAGTGGGAGAGGATGAGCAACGATGAAGGAACAGCTGTGGTCTTCTGCTACTTGCCATTCCAAATGCACTGCTCTAAGTGCTGGCTTCTGCAGCACCCCACCCCTTTCTGGAGGCAGTGATGGTTGACTAAGAATAGTTAACCTGTCTGAAGACTAGCAGAAAAACACCAAGTGGTTTGCTTGGGGTTTTTTTTTTTAAAACACTAGCAAAAGCTGGATACATCTGTGATAGGGAAGCACAACAGCTTTTGCTGGAATAGGTTTTGAGTGCAGGCAGAGGACAAAGTCAGTGTGGGAGCCTCCTGCCTTGCCAGCGTCAGGGAACACCACTCTCCTGCACAACCAGGGCCCAGGCAGTGGTCACGGGAGAGGGCAGAGACGGTGCAAGCCCTATGTACCCACAAGGTACTAATCCAGGCCCCTCACCCCCTGGCAAGTCAACAAGGACAGAACGACGGAGGCAGATTCCAGGCCAGCCCAAAAGGAAAAGCTTCTAGATACAAAAGCAGCAAGGGGCAATACGGCTTCTTTAGGTGGAGCCAGTAAAGCAAAGGAACAGCACCAGTTGGCAGAGCTTTGGGCTAAGGAGTTTCTAGGAAAGGGTAGCAGACAGACAGACAAACTTCCTGTTGCAGGCTGACCCAATGGACTCTCACCAGCTTGTAGCTTCCATCACATAAAGAGTCTGTAATACTAAATTTCCAGATTTCTAGGGTGAATACCTGATTTTACTAGGCCCCTTCATGGATGAATCACACCTGCAATTTTGGCTAAAGGAGCTGTTCCTGTGGTATCGCATGAAAAGATGCGTATGTACCAGCTTTCTTTAAAAGGAACAGCCTGTCTCTTGTTCTTTCCCCATCTTGACCCACCTGTAATCTGTCTAACAGAGAAGAGGCCTAGACTGAACAACAGACTCCACAGGTTCAGCAAACAGAGCAGACACTCTGAGGAAGATTTCCAGCCAGAAACGGGCAACAAGATGACAGCAGCAGTAGCTGGGAAGCAGGACTGAACTAATTTTAGTTCTACAGGGGTGATGGGAGACAAACACAGAGCACACCAGGAGAAAGCTATGGCACAATGGACACCAAGGATGATGGAAATGAACTGGAGATGAGACAGCTAACGTGGTGGATTCGCCGAAGAGACACGCACTGGGGTAACAAATGCCAGGCCATGCAATCGCCAAAGGGTCTAACCTGAAAGTTCTCAAAATGCATCAGGGACTTGCAGTGTGCGAGCCGGGCAGCAGAGTCGCTATGGTAGAATTTGTGACACAGCCTGCAGAGGTAACCTGCGACGGGGACCAGAAAATCCAGGCCTGTGAAACGGGAGGGGAAGGGAGATCACAGATCACATTGAATGGAACTCAAATAATGAAAGCATGTTAAAAGGGAAGGGCAG